ATCATTGTTTAGAAGTTCTTGAAAACGAAATTTGAACGTTTTATTTTTTTCACTTTTCATAACTTCCATTGTTATTAAATTTAAAAAAAAATACAAATACTAATTTACCAAATACTGTAAATACTGTAGACTAGTGTAGACCAATGCAAAAATTCGTGTAAAATATTTCGATCAAATGCACACAAATGCGGCTAGTAATATTATATAAATGAGCATCAAGTGATATCCTTATCGATCAATATTAAAGATAATATAACCAGCCGACCGGAAATCGGAAAATCCCGGGTCGCAATTTACGTACATTACAAATATACCCGGGCCGCAATTTACGTACGTTTAAAATATACTCGGGCCGCAATTTACACAGTATATAACTATGACCTTTTTTGGGGGACGCAATTTACCAACTCCACTTACAACGGACATAGTTATATCTTATTTTGCATGATATTTTATTGACACGTCATGTACTTGTATTGATGATGTACCTAATTATATTAATAAAGAATTGAAATACAAATTTAAATTTTTTTTTTTTTAATGAATCCATGTTGAAATTTATTAATATAATAAGTATGTGATAAAATTATTTATGACTTTTTTACATGATTTTGCAATGATTTTTCAACCATCGTACTTAAATATAATTCTGGACTCGAGCTGAATTAGTCAAAGTAATTTCGAACTATAAAAACCAGGCACAAAAATGGATGCATATTTGGTTGTGGGGGGGGGGTGATCAGTGCCATAACCAGGGAGGGTTAAGAAGTTCATCCCCCCAGTTTTCCTAAAAAAAGGTTATCAGGATTTGTAATTATAATATATATATATATATAATTAAAGTTTTTTATATCCATGTAAACCTCTTTTTTGGGTGATTCCTGGCTATGCCACTGAGGAGTTTAAAAAAATGAGGAGATAAGTTTTATACTTTATAAATTAATTGGTTTATTTTTAATAAACATTAAATATTTTTATTATTAATAACTGGTTATATAAACATCTAGCACAGCGGTTCTTAACCTTTTTGTAGTGGTGACTCATGATATTTACCAAATTTTCATGGGACCTTTTTATAAATAAATTTCAATGAAAGAATAAAAAATATGTAAATTTGTATCGTACATAATTTTTTTTTTTTTCAAATAATGAAGAATTTAATGGATTCCTTGATATTAATGTTGCTTCACCAATGAATCAATTCGAGCTTCTACGGAATTAGTAAGTGAAATAGGCATCGTGGGTTCAACATCAAATTTATTTCCTGACTTTATTTTGATTGTAGTTAATGTCAAAAATCCGGATTCACGTAAATATGTTGTTGCAAAATTAACTAATTTCTTTAATGCATCTTCGTAAAGATTTGGATACTCATTGCTTAAATATATCCAAAATTGGTTTAAATTTTTAGTGCCAATTAAAAGATTGTTCTAATTATTTCTGTGATGATAATTCTAATAGTTGATTCTCATTTAATAAAGATAATTCAAGTTTTTCACATGGTAAAAACGGGTTAAGAATCCACATTTTGTTTTATCGAATATCATGAAATGATAGGAAATAATTTAATATTTTATTTTTTAATTTCGACAAATGTGTTTTAGTTACCCATTGCATTACATTAATTTAATTTTTTTTTCATTCATAATATAATATGTGGAATCATATCATACGTATTTTCCTGAATTCGTTTTATCCAAAGATCAAGTTTCTTCAGAAAATCTTCAACTTTATTATTACTTGTACAAATATTAGTTAACAACCCTTGCATACACAAATATAATAACGAAAAAATATCTGTAAGATACGCAACTTTTGCCAACCATATTAATAATACATTATTGTAAATTGAACTAAATTCTTCACACATGACCGAAAAAATGGCTCTCGCAGGAATAAAATTTATAATTGTTGTACATTGGTTTAAAATATCATTGACATTTTCATCCATATTTTTTACAGTTAAATGTTCTCGATTTATAAAATAACAAATAGAAATTAGATATGCATGTGCTACTTCTTCAACGTGTGATACTACACTTGAATATATTCCTGTCATAGATACTGCGCCATCTGTACAAATCCGAATACAAGAAGTCCAGTTAATATTTTTGGATATCATATATTTATTCATTTTTTTAAAAAATTCATCTGTTGTAGTAAATGTTTTCAACTTTAATGTGCATAAGAACTCTGCTTTTATATTGTTAAATCATCAATGTACCTTACATAAATTAATAATATAGCTAAATTAATTATATTTTTTGATTCTAGATTCTGGCAGATCTATAATAAAGTTTATATAACAAACAAAAAATTGTCAAATAACAATTTTCAAATAATTTTATAATGCTAACAAACACGCTTTTAAGAAAAACAATCAGTACTGCACCAGGGAATAGAGTGATAGGGAGGGAAAACCAATTTAATATTTTTATTATTTTTATTTATGTACATTAAAAAGTATGAGCTTTATAGTTTTTCTTTTTTCAAAAGACATTTGATTAGGATTTACATCAATTATTGCACCGGTTGATTCTTGAATTCGAGGAGTCGTAATACATGATTGGGTGCACGGGTACATGATATTAATATGAAGATTAGATGTTCGACATAGCATGGACGCAAGTATTAGGCCAATAAGAGCTTACTGCGGGCTTATCGTTCCCATTACGTTTCCTGTTTGTTGAGATATAATAATTTATAATATTTAACTACGAGTTACCTTTTGTCGCATGTAATGTCCAATAAATAATTATTGCGTAGACTTCCTGTGATATCCATCGACCAACCAGACTTTTCTACGTATGAACTAATTAAACTGTCTATTTTATAGTTATGTCGATAAATCTTCAATCGAAAAACTATATTTTATACGTTAATCAATTCAAAAGACTAACTCGTGCACCCGTTTATGTATTGTTGATCTAATTATACGGCTTTTTTGATGAATCTGATTTACTTTTGTTTATTTAAAGGATAACCCTAATGTACCTTTGATTTAAACCAGTAGTGTAGCGATCCTCGACTTGATAGGGTTGAGCTCGTATTATTTAATGACGGAGATCTCGTTGTTGATTGGTAGATGGAAAACGTCAGAGGTTGAGAAAAAATACACGAACGTTAAATGAATGTAAGACTTTATTAAATTAACTAAAAAGTACAATGAATAACTTTTACTGAATAACAATTACTAACTTTTAATACTAAGGTAATCTATGGTTCAGCTGCAATGAGTGAAACATAGACTACGTGTTGAGGCGAAGACAGAAGTTAATTCTGCCTTAGTATACAAACGTATCCGTTTATATACTAGTGTTACTCCTACGTTACGTGCTTCTGGAAGGTCGACAATAAGGATAACGGAAATACCATAAGGAAACAGGAAAAAAGACTCATGGGTGCCGAGGTCTCCATGGCCTCGGTTTGTCTATAAGGTATTACCTTCGACGTGCTCGCACTACCCAAAGGTTTCGTAACCCGGATAGGATTACGTGCTTGTAATACCTATGGGATTACTACAGTAGGGCCAACCTTATTTTATCGGTAGCCATTAAAGAAAATTATGTTAAATATGCTTGATGAACCTAAATGGAGGAACTTATTTAATAGAATACAATAGTAGTATAAAAAGGGGGTTCTAACACAGCCTGTCCAGCCGCCATAATTTTTTTTTTTTTTTGCTGTCGCCGGTCCAGCCACCGTAATTTTTTTTTTACTATCACAACCGCCCGATCGTTCACGTAACCTATGTATATTTTAACCCCTCTATATTTTTTCATTGGAAAATTGTTAAATCATATTCTTCATCACCCCTCCTACTACTTCCCCTTATTTAATTTTTTTTTTTCGTATTCCATCGTTTGCATACCTATAATACACCCTCTTTACTCCACACGCCATCCGTATATTTTACATCAACTCTCCTTTTACTTCCCCTCATACATATATTATTTAAAATGTTATCACGAGGTATAAATTGATAAGAGATTATATTACCGATATTTTATCGACATACCTCTAACCGAAAATGTTATCACAGGGAATAAATTGATAAGATTTATTTGATTTTAGCGGATTTATATTGTAAGACTTTATTATTTTTAAAATTATTGCAAATAGTTGAAACATCTGTCAGGTATGTATATTATAAGTATGAGCATTGATTTTGGATATTATTAGTGTTGTTCGAGTACTCGACTTTAGAAAAATTTTCGAGTCGAGTTCAAGTACTCGACTCGACTCGACTAAAAAAAATTTTGTACTCGTAAATACGAGTACTCGACTTGAACCAAATACTCGAATTGAATCGAGTACTTGTTTCAGTGTTTCACTTTATTATGTAAAAATAATTATTAAATGTTGAAACTATAAATAACTGAGAGAACCCAAATACGAGTATTCGCGATAAGAATTCTAGGATTGTTATTGCTATATTTTATATATATATTTATTATTATGAAAACGACATTTTATAGTTTATAGTGTTTATACCGATTGATTACCACTACCACCCAAATACACACACTAACCACCAGCCGTTAGTCGTAATAATTATTTTTAATGCTTGTCATTCGATTACCTACCTCGATTGTGGTGTTGCATTTGATTTGTTTGTGGTCTACCATTTTATATTTATATAGTTTTGTGTAGCTTATCACACTAATAGTTTAATTCACCATGTCAATAACAATTGTGTTGAAGGCTACAATAGTATAGTTGCTAAGTATGTAGGCGGAAAACGTATCAACTATTCTCTTAGAGGTAACTAATTTTTTGGAATTTTTCTGTTTATGAATGAGTTTTTTGAGCTAAAGCAATTTTTTCTATATATTTTTGTAGTGCTTCAATATCCTATTGTATATAATTTTATTATTATTTACTATATATTTTACAAATGTAGGCTCATATTATGTCCGTTGTCATACCGCAGTATCTGCTTATAATTATGGCCCTTATCATCTCAGAAAATTTCATAAAAAAGTAACTAACTTCAGCCCGGGAAAATATACAAAGCAATATATTTCTAAGGAAATAAAACAAAGACTCGACAAAAGACGTCGACTTAGCTATAAATCGTCCACTAATACTAAGTAATAACATTAATAATATAGTAATTAAGTACCTATAGGTTGATAGAGTATAAAGTATAGGTAACAATATAGTAAAATCATGATGTATTTAAAAAAAAATTGTAGTCTTAAAATACGGAAAAAAATTATTTATGGACCGGACGCCGATTATGGAGCTGTGAATGATGAATTAGGTTGTCAGACGTTACCTATGTCGCGTGAAGATTTTGAAGAAAAAAAATTAGAGTTGTTGACAAATTTGAAATTAAATATGGTTGAAATTGACGAATTACAGCGTCGAACGGTTGAACAGGCGAATTGTGTGAAATGGAAAAAAGAGAGGTCCAAAAGGTTAACTGCGTCCAATTTTGGGAAAATTTGTAAATTACGAAAAACCACTTCCAGGAAAAATAGTGTAATCTCAGTTTTATACCAATCAGAGTATTTTCATGGTACTGCTGCTACAAGGTAATTTTTAATGGTAAATAATTAGTAAAACTAATATTATTTTATTTCCTTATTTTGTTGTCAATAATACAATTTTTACGGTAGGGACTGTAAATTTCAACGAAAACCAAAGTTCACAATTTTGAATTTACCAGGCAAAATAACTTAAATTAATAATTTAACATTTTTGTTTAAATTAGATATGGGATTCAATTTGAATCTATTGCAAAGGACGAATTTGAGAAGCTATTCGGATACAAAGTAGCCCCAGCTGGATGTTTGTTGACCCTCATCTGCCATTTTTGGCAGCAACACCAGATGGGCTTATTGAGGATGATTCAATAATAGAGATAAAATGTCCATTTTCTATAAAAAATTTTACTCCCCAAGATGCACACAAAGCAAAAAAGTTAAAGTTTATGGATATGCAATCGGGTAAATTATTTTTAAAAAAAAACCATTCTTACTACTACCAAGTACAAGGGCAATTGCATATAACAAACAGAAAATATTGCTACTTTGTTGTATGGACACCAAAAGGTAAACATTTTACTGTAGGTACTAATAATTATTATTTCATTATTTTAAGATTTTGTAATTATTGTTATAGGGATTTGTGTACATAAAATTGAACGTGATGATGTATTCTGGAATAATAAGATGGAGATGACGTTGTCAGAATTCTACCTGGACCATATGTTGCCAGAAATATGTAATCCACAATATTTAAAAACATAAAAAACTTACGACGTTCCTACTCATTTTTTAATCTTTTATATTTTTAATTTTATTGCACTTATTTGTTTATTTCAAATGTATTTATAATTTTTTTTAAGTTAATGTTTCATAAAACAATGAATTATATTAATATCATTTCCTTGTAGTATTTAGTATTATTTAATATTTATTGGTTATTAATTATTATAATAGTCGGCTAGTCTATTTTTTTTTTTATAACAACAGCCACTTTTGTAAAAATGCGCGACCGCAGCAATGACACGTATAATAGGTATAAATGTATTACGTATTATGTACCTACAACGAAATATAATAGTTCAATGCGATAGCGGATACACACTATTATTATAAAATGGAAATAAAACTATAAATAACATTGTGATAATGATGTGACTATGACAAAGAGGAAGGTGGCGGTACAGATTATGAACCGCACTCACACTAATAATCATTTACGACTAACACAAATACATCGGGTGGTGACGACGTGATTACAAATTGCCTAAATTTTACCCCTTATTAAATAAGCACTTCCAGCCCCCTTAACAAATAGTTTGTATGTTGTCAAAATAATTCGATTATAAGGTAAATAAATATTTAAAGTATAAATACTATTTTATTAAATATGATTAGGTATATTATTAACTATTTAAGTACCTACATTGTAGAATTAAATAAATAATAAACATTAAACATTAAACAATAAATAGAAGGTACCTATAGACGTATTATGCATTTGTCTGGATTTTAATAAAATTAATAATTATTAATTTCAAATCTGATTAAAAACATAATATTATTAATTATTATTAATAAATATTAAATAATTACCTTTATCAAACTCTTATTAAAAAAATCTTTTGTTAAATGAGTATAATAAGTAATAACTATTAACAGTATTAACTATAAACTAATATTAACTTAATAGTTTTGAATATACTATTTACTCAATTTAGTATTTTATAATTATTAAAAATATTTAATTAATAATATGTCTAAGAATATTTAACTGAAGTACATACCAAATATAATGTAAATAATAAATATTAAGATAATAAAAAATGGATCAACATAAATGATTCATAAAAACGACAGTTCTGTCAGTAATATTCTAAAAAATGTCAATATGACATACCAATTTTTGTGATAACTGAATATTTGTTATTTAATATTTTTAGTTCACTATGTCGTCTCAAAGTGTGTCTTTTGATATGTCTGATGAGGAATTAGGTACATCAGTTGCATCAACATCGACTAATAATATGCATCCAGTATTTAATCAGTCAACAGAAAATGCATCTATACTTATTGTAAATAAACGACAAAAAGGTTTAATTTGGAAGTTTTTCACACTTGGTGACAAAGATGAGTCTGGTGTTGAAAGAGGTAAATGTTTAGAGTGTGGAGTGCAAATAAAAAGGAAATGTAGTCAAACTAAATCTATGATAAATCATCTAAAAATACATAAAAAAATATTTGAAAAGGTTAATGATATGAGTGACTTAATAAAAACTGAAAATGCTTCTAAAAAAATTAAAATGTCTCAACCGACAATGCCACAAATTATAAACCTAACTCAAGCATGGGCAAAAACAAATCCAAATTTAAAGGCACTTAATGATAGTGTATTAAGGTTTATCATTCAAGGTTGCCATGCTTATTCTATTGTCCAAGAGC